GTAAAGGTGCTGACATTAAGCATTACATGTTAAGCATTTGTCACTGAATTAACAAAGTTAGTAATAGAACTGTAAAGGTGCTGACATTAAGCATTACATGTTAAGCATTAATGTTTTGCATGACTATGTAGAGTCATGCAAAACATTAGAAAGAGGTGCTTTGCAAAGCATGTGTGAAAGAAGTACTCTTAAAGGACTCTTCAGAATACTTTAAAAGTATTAAAGCAGCTGCATCCTTTGGAAGGCTTGTGCAGCTGGTTCAAAAGCTGTTCCTAGCTTTCTGTTTGTATGTGTGCATGCACAACCATTTCATCTGGCTAGTAGTCTTGGGAAAAGAGTTTTCTGTTTATACACCTGCACAAGCAGACAACTGGGAACAGCTGTAGCACTTTGAGAAGGGGTGTTTTGCCCAGGCTGACAATACCACTGAAAAGGCTGTGTTTCTGGGGGCCAAGGTTCATAGCAAGTAATCTGGTGTCAGAGTGCCTTGAATGAATGCTTAAAATTCTAGTAAGAGGAAGTTCTAGTACTGTATCCCAGCCCATACACCTGAATAATGAGATAGTTTGCTATTTTAGATGAATGATCTCATTAACTGTTTACACATAAAAAACCCTGAACTTTCCTCATGTTATACAACAACAATATAAGAACCACGTGAACAAATAATTAAGCCTGTAGAGTATCTGCTGTGAACAGAGGCACATGGGAAAAATAGCATTTAGATAAGGAGAGATTAACAATAGGTTCTGAAGAAATGCATTGCTTAGATATTACATCAGAAGCTCTTCATCTAAGAAAGACTAATCTGCATTAAGGAAATGAAATATAAACTGTTTTCATACTTTTGGAAAATAAAGTAAAAAGAATATGTAGAGGAACAAGGATATAATGGCTATTATCTCATCCTCAGCTTACATACATTAATTGTTCATTTGAGAACAGAATCCATATTGCATATAAATGCTATGTACATAAATTATTTCAGAGCAATTGGGAAGTTAGGACAATGTAAGATCCCAGAGGAGATATATATAGCCTTCATTATCAATTTTTCCATATTCATAGAAAAGCTTTTATAAAGCTTTTATGTCGATTTAGTTTTGAATTGCTTCATATGCTTGGGGTATTTAAATTCATTTTTCTGAAATCATTTGAACAATTTATTTTGCTACGGGAAAATTTTATAAATCCAAATCAAATTAAGTTTACAGGTTTTAGACTCTACTCGAGACAACATGTCTGCCAAATTTCAGGGAGATGGACAGTGTATTTGTATTTAAAAGGCAACTTCTCTGTTTAGGAAGCTCTAACTCCATTATCTTTCCACAAGACATAACAAGTTTTAAAAAGATCAGTCTTTTTAAATAGTGCCTTTTAGATTATTCTAAACCAGAAATCCAGGATCAAAGTTTGGGGTGTTAATAAGTGTGACATCTTTGAGCTGTACTTTAATCCCAAATAGATATGAACACTGGAATTCTGAGTCCAAATTACATGATTCTTTCAGGGATTGTAGAAATCCCTCTGAACAACCAACCACTCTGAAAAGTTTTTAAATTAGTGTAGACTGGGTACCAATAAATGATGATAAATTTGCTGTAAGTAAAAGCTTTGAGGAGATCTGTAAAAGCTGGTTTATCACCACTGTCTTGGCTCCTCCTCTGGGTACCAATAGTAACAGCAAATTTTAGAAGTCTCATTTTAAAAGAGCATGCATATTACATTTTGAGAGAAGCGAAGTCCTCTTCATCTACAAGTTTTACTTTCCAATTGGTGTGGAGGTGGGGTTTATGAGTTGGTTATTGTTCCAGAATACTAATCAGACGTTAGGTATGAATGAAAAATACATTTCTTGTCTGTCATTTTTATCTCTTCTCTCTCTGAACTTTTGACACATGATTTTCAAATTTTTCAGTTGGCAAGCATGCAGTGTAATATATTTGCAGGGTCAATCAGCAATTCAATCCAAATAGTCATAAATAGAAATAAATACTTGCAGTTGTTGAAATTATCTATAAATGAAAATATAGAAAGTTCCTCAAATACTATGTCTTCAGAGGAGATGTTGCTGTTTCCATTCTCTTCTGTTTGAAAAAAATAATACTTTGACATCCCCAAAGAGAAGCTCTGTCAAAAGTATGTTAGTTTACAGTATTACTAGTGTGTTTGCTCACAGTGCCAAGGAAGTATTTTCCTTTATGATTTTGTAAAAAACTTTCACAGGCATAATTTAATTTGGGAAAATAAATTGTCAAGTCACAAAATATAAAAGCAAACATGTACTCACTTTAAGCTGCATTTGCATTTAGAATTGATAGGGCAATGTAAAGTGTTTCTGGTTTTAGCATTATTTTCTTTGGAATTTATTTATTTATTTGGGACAATAATTCTTTATTGATCTTTTAAATTTTATTTTGTTCCTAAAATATGCTAGGCTAAGATGTAAGTTGGCAAAACCAATCTGAAAGTGTTAATTCCACAACTGCAGACAAATAAGTGACATGCATTTACCAGTATATGTACTTTAAACACATATATGAGGAATTACTTTCTTCTAACATAGTCATCTTTATGGATTTGCTTGAAAATAATTTTAGAGTGAAAAGGAAAGCATATTTTTAATGGGTTGAATTATTAATCCAACTCAGGCACTTTTTTTTTGTTTATGAAAATGAACATTTGTCCAAGATTTTTAAAGTCAGCATTTTCTGAAAGGGTCTCAGAATGTGCACAAAATCCTGGAATCCTAAAAAAGTGAACACATAAACCCATCAAAGTGTTATGCTTTGTGAACCATTCTGATCTAGATGATCATTCACCTTTTTGTGAGAAAATCCAAGTGTGAGTAATTATATAGTAAAGTTAATTTATCTATCCCTGTACTATATATAATGTTCGTTCGTGTGAGTTGAAAATAAAGGAAAAAAAGTTGGGTTGCGGTATCGGCTTGAGAACCTTCCACAGCATATGATTCAGTGGAGAACCAGCATTTATTTTAATCCCACACTGCCTACATTTCTAGCAGTATATAAAACTCTGCTATCATATAAAACCTAGATGACAAAACAATTCATGTCTCCCCTATTGATTCTGCCTAAAAACTGTATTCTATATTATATTGTACTTGATCCTTATATTCAGCCTGTGAAATGATTTTATAATGATAGGATATCTAAAGTATTTTTAAAAGACAAAGCTAGGTCTGAGTTGAAAATATTAAATGCCTCTCTTTGATATTTGTATTAGCTTTCCCCAGGAAGCAAAACATCTCCAGGGACTTGTAAACTTATTTAGAAAGCTGATTAAGTGTTATTAAAAATTACTGGATTAGAGATAGCAGTGTGATTCAAAGTTATTGCAGTCTTTTAGCACTTTGTCCCTTTAAAGATTTTTAAATCCATTCACTACAATGTAATGCATTTTCTGTCTTACCAGCATTCCAGTAGTGTAAATTTTCAAAGGAGTTTAATGAATTCTGAACTGTTGAAGATTATCTTATGTAGATACTAGAAAAATGGCAGTTGCAAATAAAACAAATAATCCATTAATGGCCTTCAGTTTTGGACCATGCAAAGCAATATGAGAAATTATGAATTTCTAATTTAGACCTGGGACCCAAATAGCTACTAATTGCATAGGCTAAGTGCAATTTTTCATTTATTTCTTCAAACATAAAGACTCCACTAAAATTTAAAAGTAGCTGTACATCATGGAGAACTGCTGTTGGGGGGAAAAAGCATGTTACCTTTCCACATAGAATTACTTGCACAATTATTTGGTTTTTAATGTAAGGTTTTAATAATCTGCTAAATTAAAATGAGTACATAGAATCATGGAGTCATACAGTTAGAAAGGCCTACTTAGGCCACTGAGTTCAATCCACTGCTCAGTGCAGGAAGATGGTTGAACAACGTAGCAGATGCTTGTCTAGTTTTGACTTGAAGACATACAATAAAGGGAAGTTCACCATGTCTCTGATTCATTAATTACACAATTGAACTGCTTTTGTTATTAGGAAGTGGGCATATGTTTCTCTTGACTGGTTAAATACTAGCAACAACTCTAACTTATTTCCAAGCAGCCATAGAAAAATATACCTTCAAGCAGACAATCCCAATGAACAGAATATGCTTATTCCTTTCCATTATCACTACTTCAGTAAATAATCTTGGCTTCAAACTACTTTTCTAACTGCCAGAGAAAAAACACAGCTACCTACATCTTTTCTTTTTTGATCCCAGATACAGAAATAGCCTAAGGGAGAAAGGATAAACAGTCCTTTCCTCACTAGCCGTCCATTCAAAATAATAGCCTCCTATCACTGCTTGTGCTTTAAGGACATTTTGAGCGACCCTGTGACCATTCTTTCTTCTTCCATATTTCTCAGTATTTTGAACTGCATAATAAACTATTTAAATATCTAATTAAAATTGGAAACACAGACCCATTGAGTGCACAGACAGAAATAGAGGGTATACATTCCTTAGAGTCTTGCCATAGTGACAGTACTATATATTGTCTTCAATTATTCTTCAAAAGAATAAGTTGCAATAGACGCATAAGCCAGACATTGTAACTTGATGTAATGCTTCTAATGCTGTTTGCTTTCTTTACTGGAAATATAGTATAGTGAGTAGAGAAGTGATAATAGATCCATGCTCCCTCCTTCCCTCCCTCCCTCCCTTCCAGCAATCTGTTTTTATGACACTAAATTTCCTTTTGCTCATTGCTTTACAGACTACAATTCAGCCTTTCCAAGTGCCTTCTAGATATGTTTCCATTCTCATTGTGGATGAGAGGCATTTTCATCCAATATCTGATAATAAGTAAATATTAGATATCTAAATAAAAATCAGATATCTAAATAACTAGAATTATTGACAGAGGAAGGGAGAAAATAAAAATAGAAATCTCTTTCCTTACAAAATCCAGGTACCTGTTATACCTACAAATCAAAAGAGATATTTTCCATGGCCGTTTGCTGTGTGGGTTTTCTGATGCAGCTTACCTGGGAGCATGCATTATCCAAGGTAAGTGAAATGACTGCAATTTGGAATTTTACTTCAGTGCACTGTAATAGCACAATTTTAAAATCAATTGAGTTATATCCAAGACAAATAGAGTTACGCTTCAGTCTGAATCCAGTCCACTTATAAGTAGGTGTGTAATTTACACAGTAGGCTGTGGCTTTCCACTGCTTCTAGTCCACTGTTTCTACAGTTGGTGCACCTGTGTAATACAACATACAGAGTGGCAACAGAATTATACCTGTATACAGTACTGTTTATAAAACCTGTGTTCACTAGTTCTAAGGAATGTGACAAGATTGGGAAAGGGGCCAGTAGGCATATTCCTGCGTTTCTTCCACACGCCCACAGTATTTTGATATAAAAGATGAAAATATTTTTTTTCTTCACCTTATAGGAGAATGATTTTGTTGATACAGTTAATGCTGCTGATCCTTCCATGCGGTCTCAGTAAAAATCCATATATTTGGTAGGGCTGTGCAGATCATTGGATTGAGGTGCTCATGAAAGCAGCACGTCTCTTTGAATTGTCAACAGCCATGTCTTTTGTAAAGCCTGTGTGGCTGTTTAAAAAATTGCTCCCAGCTACTTTGGCAGGTATGTACACTCTGAGAAGAAAGTAATGCAAAGTGGCTTTAGTGCACACACATGCATGGGGAGACAGTTAAGAAAAGCTTTTGAAGAAGCTCCTACTTTCATTATTCAACTAAGTCAGTGTTTTTACCCATGGCAACTTTAAGATGTGTGGACTTCAACTCACATGTGGGTTAAACTCACATTTAACATCTTAAAGTTGCCAAGGGTGAGAAACACTGATCTAAGTCCTTGTGTGTTGTGGAGCACCTCATTTCAATATATTACAGAGCCCTAATATTTGGTCAGTTTTGTGATAATTATATTTTTTTTGTGTTTGTTGGTCAGTCACTTTATTGAGTTGGCATTGGATGTGATTGGATTTTTTTGTTGAGAAATGAAACCTTTGACCCCACTTTTACTGCTTCCTTAAGCAAGTAAAGGAACCCTAGTTTTATCATGGTGTGTTTTAAATTGGAAACCACCTCATGAGACTTAATAATAGAGAAGATAGAATATAAGAGTCCTAAATAAAATAAAGTTCTAGTTAAAATTTGAACAACATGCCTGTTATTTAATAGTGAACAGAATATGTTTCCTTGTTTTTTAATTTCCCTGCTATGTTATACTTTGACAAATTTATTTATGTGTTTGCTTTATTTAGAAAATGTAAATGCCCTGCAGCACTGCTATTTCCAAAGCAATTACCACAGCTTGACAATAAGAGCAAATAACAATGCCAAACAAGTGAATAGAAAAGATTAACAACAAAATTATAAACTTAAAGCAACAGAATAGATTCAGAAAGGTGTTTGCCTAGTACTGAAAAGAGTTGTCCTTCCTGCAGAAGGCATTTTAAAGATGGGAACTCACAACCATGGACCCTTTTCCCCAGAGGCCATTGGCACAGCTGAAGTGGTGGGACCTGGAGAAGAATTACAAAATTGATCTTAGTATACAAATATCTTTCAATTGGAAGAAAATTAAATTTCAGAAATCCACGTCCCAAGATGAATAAAGACATTAAATATCAGAGCTTCAGGATTATGCACTGAAACCCATTTATATCTGAACTGTAAATAATGCACTTCCAGTCTGGAACTTCTCATTTAAGTAAGAATGTATTTGGTCTTTCCTCTCTCTTTCTCTTTTTCCTGTACAGCTGAACTAGGTGACTATGATTCTGATGAACATGTGGATAATTACATCAGTGAATTTAAGATCTTCCCTAAACAATCTCAAAAGCTGGAAAGAAAAATTGGTGAAATACATAAAAATGAATTCAGGTAATTGAGATTGCTGTTTAAGGAAGTTACTTAATTATTTTTAGTGAATCTGCAGAAGATTATGTTTTCGATTGGACTTGTTACTTACATGTATATGCAATAAAATTAATATAGTCAAGGGGTTAATAGAGAAAGGGTAGTATGATATTTTAAAAAGTGTGTCTCTAAAATTACTGAACTATTACTACATTATAGACACAGTACAACACAAATGTAAAGTTACCAAAACTCCTTTGTTTCAGTAGAGTTGGGATTCTGTGGCTTCCCAGATTTTGTTGAAAATCAGAATTGATGGGAATTTTTCTTGCTATTGTATTACAAAGCAAGGATGTAATTATGGTTCAGGTTTCAGAATATTTGACATTATGATTTTGGAGTATTATACTTTTGGTTAGAAATACTGTATGTACATTTTCTTGAAGGGTAGATACACTCATTTGTCATTAGACACTCATTAGACTGTGTCATCTTAAAAACTGTCTAGCTTTTTATGATGCTGTATTTATAAAATGTAATTTTTGTTTTTAAAATAAATTTATAGCAAAGTTAGAAATCACATTCCATACTTTCAATTATTTGTTTGTATTTGTAACATTTATCCCTTTCATAGTATTTTAATAAAGAAAGTAAGCCTAGAATAGAGATAACAAACAATATTTCTCTTACTTCTTACTTATGAAGATAAAATGCTATATCGAGTAAGCATGCCTTCTTCAGGTTTACCTATCTACAAAAGAATAAAGTAGGTAAAAAAAGTGTTATGGGAGACTTAAGAAAATCATTGATCTTAATGTATTATTTGTGCTGCCCACTGAATTGCATGACTGACAAGAATTCAAGAGTTTATATAGCAAATAATAAATGGTAGTAGCAAAAAAGCTGGGGGTAGTTTAAAAGCAGTATCTGGAGTAAAAAGAGAAGATGAGTTGCTCCCACCTGAACTGTTTGATTTCCTTTTTAAAATGTGTATACTTAGCAGAAGAGAAACCTTCAAGGACAAAGATTACTTCATAGAGAAGGGAGTTGAATAATGACACATTATTATTCAACAACTATAATGTTCAATGGATTCAGATAAATTTTGAATGGAACTAGCCTTATTTGGGATTTATCTGAAATAAAACAAGTAATCATATTATTTATACATTTTGTATTTTAAACTTACTTATATTTTCACTGTTATTTATTTTAAGTACTATTAATAAGAACATTTTGTTGTAATATGTACTCTCTTTGACAACGCTCTTGTGAACGACAGAGCAAAATAGTTGGTAGCATATAGTGGCTGTTCAAATTGATGTTTTGTCTGAGTAAGAAGGCTTGTTCCTATTAATTAGCACAAACAAATGCTGTATTCTCTCTGCCTCTTATTCTTTTTAAGGAGTAGTATAAACATTTTTAGGGAAATGTCACTTCTACAATATTTTCTCTGTCAGCTTGTGCATATTGAATGGTCTAAAAATGTGGATAAGGTTATCAGGCTATTAATAATTAGGTCTTGTAAGCTTTTCATCATTAGCTGTTCTTCATCTTTATGAATAGTAAATAAATGCCACCTTAACTGAATTGGACAATTTGGGGTGATTAATGAAAATCAAACTAGATACTCATTCTAGTATCTAATCACTAACCACCTAATCACTAACCAGATTTTGGCAGGAAAATATTGTGCATCGAGAAGCTATAGGAAGTTATATTGATCTTCCTCGAAGTGTTTGGGATTATAATTCCAATACTTTTTATTAACAATATTATATGTAAATTTTAAAATTTAGTCCCCAGGTGAATACTAGTTCAATCAGTATGGTGTGGATGTGTTTCTTGATGCCTACTAGGCTTTCTGCCCGAACTGATATTTCTAAATACTATTTTAAGTTAAAAAGAGAGAGAGAGAGGATGTTAACTGCTGAAAATCAAAGTGCCCAGGTTTAATTTATATGTACAGGTAGTCCTCACTTAATGACAGTAATTGGGACTGGCTACTCTGTCACTAAAGCACAACATGTGACTGCACCAACTTTACAACAGCAATTGCAGCAGTTCCAGTTGCTGTTGTTAAGCGAACCCTATATGGTTGCTAGGCGCAACATCATGTGATCACCATTTGCGACCTCCTGCTGGCTTCCCCATTGACTTTGCTTGTCAGGAAGCTGGCAGTGAAGGTTGCAAATGGTGATCACATGACCGTGGGATGCTGCGACCATCATAATTGCCAAGTGCCCAAATTGCGATAATGTGACCATGAGGATACTGCGACAGCTGCAACATGAGGACCAGTCATAAGTCTCCTTATTCAGTGCCATCATAACTTTGAACAGTCACTGAACGAGTGGTCGTTAAATAAAGACTATCTGTAAGTATATCCAAAAATGCCTCTGGTCCCACGTAGAGGCATTCTTACAAAAAAGTAAGGATGAATGGTTATAAGAACTATGTGGAACTGAATCTACCTGCCAAGAAAAACAAACAAGGATAAGTTTTGGGGTTTTTTCCTGTCTTAAGTCCATACTTTTGGCTTCATAGTTGTAGCATATACCAGTTGATACATTGCCTATATTCCTGGCCAGTGTAGTCCCAAAGCATGTTTTAAAGAGTGCTACAAGACTCTCCGTTACTTTTTCAATAGACTAATACAGCTACGTTCTGGAAATTAGAATTTCAGGCCACTACAGGTAGTCCTCACTTAACAAAAGTAATAGACACCGGCAACTCCGCCGCTAAGTGATGTGGTTGTAAAGTGCGACGTCACGTGACCGTGACTTATGACGGCAGTTGCAGCAGTCTCAGTTACCATTGTTAGGCAAATCACACACAGTTGCAGTATCCTGCGGTCATGTGATTACCATTTGCGACTTCCTGTCAGCTTCGCATTGACTTCGCTTGTGGGAAGCTGACAATGAAGGTCCCAATGACAGTCACATGATTGCAGGACCCTGCAACATCGTAACTGTGAGCTGGTTGCCAAGTGCCAAAATCGTGATCATGTGACCACAAGGACACTGAGACGGCCGCAGCTACAAGTCCCCCTTATTCAGCGATGGCATAACTTTGAACAGTTGCTGAATGAATGGTCGTTCAGTGAGAACTATCTGTAGATAAAACTGAATATTAAAGGCATGGATTTAAAATTATTTGGATTCAATTTCCAGAATCAGAATTGATTGTCTGATTATTAATAAATTATCTTTCCAGCTTTGAAAGTGTATGAAGGTATTAGTATTTTAAGATAACAGTGGAAAATCTGAAAATCATCTTTGTTTTTAAGTTGTTCAGATTTTTATTATATACTATTCATTACGAGATGATTAATTCTGTCTCTGAAAAATAGTGACATTTTCTCTAGTGCATTTATTTCTAGAAGAGGAACTTTCCAATTTGTCAGTAACAGAAACGATTAGAAAATTGTCCTTCAGTTTTTGGTAAAATACTCTTAATTTACAATTTTACAGTTATACCTTTTTATATATAACTGCTTCAAGGTGCAATAATTTTAGTTGTTGAAACACTACTTACTGCTATTGAAAAAAGATTTCTGTAAAAGTTTATTGACTCACAAAGAGATATGTAACATAAACAATACCCTTTAGAAGGTCTTCATTTAAGCAGTCTGAATTTTCCTTTTGATCCAATTTTTGCTGCCCATTATTCTACTTTGATCTTTGTTTCTTCTACATTTGTTTTTACTGCATGTGTAAGACCAGCAGCTGTTCTGTATTCCATGCATTGTAAGTCAGCAAAGACTACACAGTTTTCCCTCTCAGATTAATATAACACATTTAAGACTCTTGTTCAGCTGCCAATCTTTCAGGGGGGCTATAAGCAAGCATATATTACACCTACTTATAAAACTGAATTGTTTAGACCTTTCCTTTTATTTATTTATTTATTAAATTTATATAGCCAGCCATCTCACTTGAATGTGACTCTGGGCAGTGTGCACAATTAATTGTGGCCAAGTTTGACTACATAGCCATTGTAGAAGTTTGAAACAGTTTGAATTGAAGTGAATATAATATCTGGCTTAACAATAGCTTGTCCTAACAAGTAAACCAATAATGCCTTTTAACATTTTATGAATGTTTTCTAGTGACTCTTCATAAATTATGATGTGGCATTTTCTTTTTTAGATACAAAATTTTATTTGGTACACATCTTATTGCATATATATTGTATTTATTTCGTCTATATTTTGATTTATATTTTCCACATCCCCTTCAAGAAGCCTCTTAATGAAAGTATTATTGGTTTTATTGTTTTTATAATTTCCTGCTTGGTTCTTCAGTGTGGGTAGTCTGTAAATACTGATGGCTAAACTATGGCTACTAGATCTGAACTGCAAATATCTGGACATCCACTAGAGAGCAAAGAAACAGAATACCCTCTTTGCTGCCATCTACCAATCATGCAAATTTTTTGCAGTCCAGATATGGTGGTCTAGTTAAATGTGCTTGGGATAAAGCACGTTGGTTGATACATAAATAAATTCACCAGAGAGGAAGAAAACAACAACATACTACCCTTCCTGGATAGCCTCATCAGCAGAGGAAGCAACAGCAAATTAGAAACCCAAGTCTATCAGAAGGCAACCCACACTAATCATGTGCTTCATTACCAAAGTAACAACCCAGCCTCCCACATGAGCTGTGTAAGAACATTATTCAAATGAGCACAAACACACTGCAGCAACCCAGAACAGCAGAAAAAGGAATCAGACCACCTGTACAACATCTTCCAACAAAATGGATATCCACGCTTTATCAAAAAGTGCCTGACCACTCAACCTACTACAATACAACCAACACAAGCTATGAAAAGGATCACACTGCCAAACATCAGAAATGTCTCAGAAACTACCAACAAACTATTACAACCACATGGCATCTCCATAGCACACAAACCAACTAAAGCCCTTCAAAATATCTTAAGCAAACCAAAAGACCCAGTAGCCCAAGAAGAAAAAACGGGAGTCATCTACAACATACAGTGTAAGGACTGTAACAACCACTATGTAGGACAGACAGACAGAAGGCTTGCAGAGCGCATCCATGAACACCAACTAGCAGTCAGCAGACATGATGAAAACGCCTGAAGCTCTC